GTCAGCAGTGTTTCAGCCCTAGGCCCATCCCAGCACTGTCCAGAGGTAAAATCATCTTAGAAAGATGCACCAAACACACAGTGTGAACCTTATCCTTAGGTGGTGCCCAACAACCTCAGCTGGCAAGGAGCCAGGAGCTGACCAAGACCTCATTCCTTTCACTCTTTTGGGGAGAGGGCTTTGGTTGTGCAATGGTAACTTGGTTTTCATCACCTTCCACAGGGACCCATGTGATGGAGGGCTCAGGACGGATGTTAGTGACTGCTGTGGGTGTGAACTCTCAGACTGGCATCATCTTTACCCTGCTGGGAGCTGGTGGTGAAGAGGAAGAGAAGAAAGACAAAAAAGGTAAGCCCAACCCCTTTGCAAACCCAGAGAGGAGCTCTTAAGGCCACATTTTTTATTATTTATTCACTCAACAAAATGGTTATTGAGTGCCTTCTATGTCCACACCCTGTGCTGACAGCTGCCTCCTGCATCTTCAAGGCCCTGCCAGGGCCAGGTGGGCTCTGTCTGTTCCATCTCCAGGGTCTTGTTCCAGTCTCTGTCTTGTCCAGTCATGTCATGGAGGCTCCTCATTCTCCTCTGGGCCAGGCCAAGGATGCTGAGCATGTTGTTGAGTCTCCAGGCTCAAGCAGTAGAAACAGCTAGCATGAACTGGTCCCATCATCGCCCCAATACTGAGTAGAAATCCCCACCCAGGTATATTCCTTCCACTATTGTCAACTCCATTGAGCAGGGCTGAAAATCCACCCAGCATAGACTTGTCCCAGGGGGAGCAGAAGTGATTCTGGGGAAGGTGGCCAAATGTGTGGCTCCAAATCAACCACTGTGAGTTCCCTCTCCCATCCACTTGGAGCTGCAAAGAGTCCTGGTTCTTCCTCCCCCTTGAAAATAAGAGTGCTTATTCACTGGTCTCCCTGCAGTGCAGCAGGCTGGCAGCCCAGACTTAAAGTCCCTCTCAGAACAGAGGGAGGCCCTCTCACACAAGAAGCCCCAGTCCCATCAAGCCATACCCAAATCCAAAGGCCCAGGTTCTGGCCCCAGCACATCCAGCTCCTTACCTGACACCCACACTTGGTCTCAGGGAAAGCCCCCTTATGCATTTGAAGTCTTGTCTCCTTCTCAAACTCCAGGGGAGGATCCCCAACACCCAGAAGTTATGGAGTCTGGGGAGAAGGGTGATGAGAAGGCAGATGGCCCCTCCCTGAGTTTTAGGGGCAGTCCTGCTACCTCAAGCTCTCGCAGGCCAAGCAGGTACAGAGCCTGGGTCAGGACCAAAGGTTACTTGTTCCCAGGGGCAAAACCCATTGTCTACTAGGTCTCCCTCAGATTACAGCTGCCTCCACAGCAGGAGCAATGGAGCTGAGCTGTGGTCTGGGAATCAAGAGGCTGGAGTAAGGGGTACTGAGGTTGAAATTAAGGAGAGAGCCCTGGCCAGGAGTCCTAGGGTGTCAGGACATTGTCCACGCACTGAGTTGGAACCTGAGGTGGGGCGGGGGGGAGGCCAGGCCTTGCCCCAGACCGCAGGCAGGTGTGCAGGTTTGAGCAGTTGTGTGGGATGCTGCAGCCTGTCCCCGTTTCCCCAGCCTCACTGGAGCCTGGTGAGGGGCAGACACACCCAGACGCCCCCACAGGCCATCCCTATGTTTTTGAAAATGCCAGTAGGAAGACAGGCCTCAACTGCCCCAGAAGTGGGGTTCACAGTCTCTCCCTGAAAGTGCACCTGCACCCCAGAGAGATGGGGGTGTCCAAAGACAGCTTCATAGAGAGAAGAAGTGGGATGCAGAAGGGACATGGCAGAGGAAGCCTGGGGCAGCCCAGCATCTCAGGCTCCCTTGGGCTGAGCAACACGGCCGGGCTGGGCCCCCTCTGCCTCCTATCCCATCACCTCCACCAGCAACATTGCTTAGAGCCCACTAACCACATGCAGGATGACCCTGGTGTGTGGCCATGTGTGTGTGTGTATTTGTGTGGTTGTGTGTGCTTCTCCTTCATTAACATGTCTCAAAAATCATCACACAGGTGTGAAGAAGGGGGATGGCCTTCAGCTACCAGGTACAGTAAGACACCCCTCAGGGTAGATGGGGCGTTTAGAAATAGCAGCCACCTCTGGCCACTGGGCCCTGCCCCTAGACCACCACAGACAGCTGGAGGAGGCCACATGCCTGCTGCAGGCTCTGCCCCTAGATGCCCCTCTGTGCCCTTGTGTGGTGCCAGCCCCGAGGGACCAGCCATCACCTCACTCTGCCATCCTCCCTCCCAGCACTTCACCCTACCCTCTGGTGACAAGTGGCACCACCACCATCTCCACACCACGCCCTGCCCCGCAAATCAGCAAGCCCCGCCTCACTCGCCACCACGGGACCCCGGCCCTGCTCCCCACCCCCACACAGCGTGTCCACCCCACCCACCAGTGTGTCACCCCACAGGGTCTCTTTCCTCTTTTTTCCACAGAACCTTACTCCCACCCCAAGAAAGGACAAAAGGGGTGAATTTGGCCATCTTGTAGCATTTTTCATTTCTAAATTAAGAAGAATTCGCTAGTACCTTTTGTCTCATGTACAAAATGCAGCATACTTGATGTCACCTTTTCAGTGGTGGGTCATTGCATATGGACGTTGCCAAGGCAATCTTTGGTGCGCTGGTTAGGGAAGGAGGAGGTGGTGACAGGCGGTGGCCTGAGTTGGAGGCATGGCCTGGTTAAGTCCCCGCCATCGAGGGATATTCCACCAGAGCACCCTGGTGCACAGAGGTGGTGGTCATAGCAAATACGCATTCTGAGTGGTGGGTGGCCACACTGCACCGCTCTCTGGATATTTTGAATTGACTCCTGGCCATGGCTCCTCTGACCCCTCTGCTCTGGGAACCCTCCCTGCCAGGGGACCCTCCTGACCATCCAGCTAACCACCCCAATCATCCGCCATGTTTTATTTCAAAGACCCTCCACGTCTGAGTTTTGCCCCCACAACCTCTGTGGCTTTTCTGTGAGAACATTTCATCCCCCAAATTTGAGTTTCCTGATTTCCAGCGTCATTTTCTCTTTTTTTAGTACAGAGCCATGTATTTCCCCGCCCGTCAGTTCATGTCGTTACTGTTGTTGCTTTTCTCCATGTGACACTGCATTTTCCATCCCTCCACCCCGCAGCGGCCGACGGTGCGGCAGCTTCAAACGCCGCAGATAGTGCAAATGCCAGCCTAGTCAATGGTACGTGTCCCGCGGCGAGCGCTCGGTCCTGGCGGGACGGGCGGCTCCCCCACCCCCAGCCAGGGCTTTCTCTCCCTGTTCTGGACCGCACAGATCTCAGATGTGCATGGGCAAGTCGGGGACAGTCACCCTCTCACGTGGGGCAGGCGCTTAAGAGACAGGCCACAACCGGGAATCAAGTCCGTGCCTGCTTACAGCTGCCAAAAGGGAGCTGGCTCCTGTTGGACCCTTGACCCCCAGTGGAGCCCAAAAGAGGGATATGACTTTGGCTTCAGATTCGGCCCCCAAGAAGCACGTCCCACCTCGTGTGGCCCTCTCCTAAGCGCGTTCCCAGCCCTGGCTTTGGGAAGAAGGCCTGGGGTCAGGACCGGGGCTGAAGCTGGCACCTGGGTCCCCAGCAAAGGCTCCAGTCCTCCACTCTAAAATTCCCTCAAGGCAAAGGGACCCAGGCCGGGGCTCAGCTCCTTGGCCCTGCCCTGTAGCATGGCTGAGTCACTAGTAGACATCTCTTCCTCTTCTCTTTCACGGAGCAAACGGGCAGTGGGTTTGCTTGGGCTCGGGCCTAGTTCTTTCCTTGGATGTGGACTGGTGTTTCTTGCTGTTGCCTGTGCTGGAGTGTTTGTCCTGGGTTTCTGCATTCTTACTCACCCCTTGGGGGGTGGAGGGTGGGGACAGGGGACTGCCACTGGTGCCTGGGGTCTGCAGCTTAACCTCCCTGCACATGGGCAGGAAGCAATTCCATTCACTGGCCTCTGAGCCTTTAGAAGGTTTGGAAGTTCTATGCTCTCTCATCTTCAGAGCAACAGATGAGGCTGTTGTTTACTCAGATACTGCCCCTGTCCCCAAATAGTCACCCAGGCTGCTCCCGAACCACTGAGAGCTGTTGGGGATCGGGCTTGGCCCCAGAGAAGCCGAGGGAAGGGAAGCGTCTTTCTTCCAGTATCACAGCACTCCAGGCATGGGCTATGGTTCTCTCATCCATTATATCACTTGCTCCTCATCACTTCTGCAGATCATAGAGACTCTTGTCCCACACACCCTCCCATCCCCTGCCCCAGACCTCTGGCCGAGCCACCTGCATCAACTGGGCTATGGTTCTCTCATCCATTATATCACTTGCTCCTCATCACTTCTGCAGATCATAGAGGCTCTTGTCCCACACACCCTCCCATCCCCTGCCCCAGACCTCTGGCCGAGCCACCTGCATCAAAGTGAGCAAAGACAGAAGTGCTCGTAGACATCAGGCTGGATGAGGCGCTCCTGCAAACAGGGCCTTGCCACGAGGGCCAGTTTGGCGGTGGGTCTATTTCGGGCACGGGAGGAGGAAGGAGGACAGTTTGGGGTGTAGGAGGTGTCATGTGTCAGGGAGGGGTGGCTGAGGGAGACAAGGAGAACCCATGTGGGCAAACCCACGGCTGGGGGAGAAGGAACCAGGAGGTGGCACCCACTTCCCCCAGGCGATAAGGCTGCTGGGCTCTGTGTGTGTACAGACTCATCCAGGCCAGCGTTCCAGAAAAAAGGGCAGTTTTACTTATGAACTGCTGCAGAAAACCCCAAGTATCCAGAGAAAAACTGCAGGAAAGATGGAGATCTTTCATTTCTTGACCACCTACTTGATATCAGGCACAACTGAAGCATTTCATGTTTGCCATGTTATTTAATCCTCATGACAACCCATAATTCGGGTTTTATTGTCCCCACTTTAAAGATAAGGACACTGAGTCTCAAGGAGATCAAGACACTATCCCAAGGTCACGGATCTACAAAGTAGTAGAGCTGTGATTTGAACCCAGAACCCAGACCTTGCTGGCTCTAAAGCATGTGTTCCTCCTCCCAAACCAGGATTTCCCCATGGAGTGTGCCTTGTAAGCTTCACAAGGCCATTAAGAGGCCTTCCCACCTCCTCCCGCACCACCACCAAGAAAGGACCCTGCAGTCAAAGATGTTTAAGAACCACTGGGTTGAATTGGTTTCTTCCTCATTACAGGACTTCTCAGAGCCTTGACTGTGCTGACATGCAGGGGAGAGTTATAGAGTTAGCAGGACCTTTCCTGGCTGAATCCTGTGGGTATATTATGCCCCATAATATACCTTGGGAAACAGTGCTCTCAGCCACTGCTATTCAGAATGTGATGGCTGTTCCGATCCCCATACAGCCCGGCCGCAAAAAGTAAATAAATAAATAAACAATGTGATGGCCTCACCTGGGAGCTTGTTAGAAATGCAGAGTCTCAGCCCCCGCCCCAGACCTGCTGAATGACACTCTGCATCTCAACAAACTTTCCAGGCTGCAGCTGAGAGCACATTAAAGGTTGAGAGGTGCCAGGCTGAGCCTTGGCGGGTGATGAGAGGGAATATCTGTTTTCCCTTCCTCTGAGCCAGTGACTCTGCTCCCCAAGCCCCCACTGAAAGACCTCCATTCATCTCAGAGGTCTTATGGTTGCCATTATTATTTTATTATTTTATTTTACATTTATTAATATATCACTATTTAATACATCACTTATAGTCAGAATTAAGAACATATCACTATTAACTCCTGACATTTATACAGCACTTTACGGGTGCTTTTCATAAGCATCACCTTGATTGACATCTTGGTTGACATTCTCCCATTTCAGAGGAGGAAATGGAGGCACAGGGAGAAGTGACATTTCCCAGGTCTTCCAGCTAGTGGTCTGTCTCCCTAAAGCTTGTATGTCAGGTCACCTCACGAGGAATCCTCCAAATCCATGTGTTTCACATCCATGTCCACAGTGCTGCACAAAGACAACAGACCTATTTGAAAAAGTCATGTCTAAAAACTGATGCAGAGAAGGGCCTCTGAGACCCCACCCAGTATTCCTTCTTGGAGTCCATCCCTCATTCTCAACTCCCTTGAAATACAGCCCATCCTCCAGGTCCCACGTGGGGCCAAAGCTGCCTCTCCCACCACAGTTCAGGGCCAGGCAAGCTCCAATTTGGCTGTGGAGAGCCCCAAGTAAGTCCCTTGCTTCTGAGAAACCAGGCCACCTGCGCCAAAGCGTTCCCAGAACATCGCTCCCTTCCTGCAACATATGCATTGGTGATTATTTTTCTGGCCATGTGGTCACTATGGAAATAACGGAGGAAATTGCTAGCTGAGTTTAATGGGCGCACTCCCGCTGTTGCATCTGGTAATACGCAATGCAAATAAAGGCCTCTCTGAGCCTTCCAGAACTGAC